ATGGAGAGAGAAAAAAACAAAAACTCTAATAGTTAGAATGAGCATTAATGCCTTTAGCATTGTAAATTAAAAGCCTTTTAATTACACAATTGGAACAACATTTATAACAATTTGACACAATACTGAAAACTGATGACACATCATGATTAAACCTCTAACATAATAGCATGTTGTGTGATTCGTTATTAAATTTTTAAATAAAACTTCCTTTTTGTTGTGTTGTGGCTGCCTTTTTTTATCTTGTGCTCCTTTACCTAATTCAGATATGCTCAGAATTTTTTTTGTTTAATTCCTTCTAAAGTTTTTACTTTTTAAGAATCAGGAATAAATAGATATAAACATTGTTTACTCCAGGTGCATTAGATTCATGGTTTAAGCATCATGATGGATTGAAACGCTATTTTACCAAAATATGGTGCATACTGCCACCTCGTGGTGAGAGTGGGAACATGTGAGGATTAAAAAAAATCATGGAATCTGAGTTACTCTGAATTTTGAGTATTGCTTCCTTAGCTGCCATTTTATTACAAATAAACCTAAACTTCAAGTTTATTCCATGTAAACTTAGGAAATAAAGTTGCTGTTTTTTAAGAGGCAATAGATATTGATATATGCACACTGAATTTCTAAGTAGAATTCATCCTCTGCAAAATGGTAGAATGAATGCCTTCTCTGCAATAGTAAGAGAGCAAAGAAATGATACTGAGGTTCATTTTCTGAGAATATCATAATTTGTGTTGTATTTGAAAACCGTGGCACTAAAGGTTAATTTTCCACCTGCAAACACACCTATCAGAGTAATCAGCTCTCTGGGATACTCAGGTGTGCAGCCTAGCCAGTGTTAAACTCGTCTCAGTAATATTTATCAATTAATAGTATCTGCTGAGTATTTACTACACACCTAAAAATGGTAAGCAATATAATAGATTTTTTAAATATAAATTTATTTATTTATTTATTTTTAATTTAAATTCCTTATTGTTTAAAGTATTATGTGAGTTTCCTTTTTCCCCCATTGAACTCTCCCCAGCCGCTCCCCCCCCCCAGCATATGCCCTCGCCCCCCTACTGTCTGTCTATTGGTTATGCCCATATGCACGCATACAAGTCCTTTGGTTGATCTGTAACCCCCTCACTCCCCGCCTTCCCTCATAGGTTGAACAGTCTGTTCGATGCTTCTATGTCTCTAGTTCTATTTTTGTTCATCAGTTTAGGTTGTTCATTATATTCCACATATGAGTGAGATCATGTGATATTTATCTTTCTCTCACTGGCTTATTTCTCTTAGCATAATGCTCTCCAGTTCCATCCATGCTGTTGCAAATGGTAAGAATTCCTTTTTAAAAAAAAAAAAAAAAAACAGCATAGTATTCCATTGTGTACCACAGTTTTCTAATCCACTCATCTGCTGATGGGCACTTAGGCTGTTTCCAAATCTTAGCTATTGTAAATTGTGCTGCTATGAACATTGGGGTACATATATCCTTTCTGATTGGCATTTCTGTTTTCTTGGGATATATTCCTAGAAGTGGGATTACTGGGTCAAATAGGAGTTCCATTTTTAATTTTTTGAGAAAACTCCATACTGTTTTCCACAGAGACTGTACCAGTTTGCATTCCCACCAGCAGTGCAAGAGGGTTCTTCCCCCCCCCCCCCCCCCCCGCATCCTTGCCAGCATTTGTCCTTTGTTGAACTGTTGATGATAGCCATTCTGACAGGTGTGAGAATGTTGCTTTGATTTGCATCTCTCAGATGATTAGTGACTTTGAGCATGTTTTCATATGTCTTTTGGCTTTCTGTATGTCCTCTTTTGAAAAGTGTCTATTTAGATCCTTTGTCCATTTTTTGATTGGATTGTTTATCTTCCTTTTAAGTCATGCCCTTAGCCAAAGAGAACTTGTGGGAAAGATGATAAGTATATACTAAGTGTTGAACTTTTTACAAACTCTAACAGGATTTAAGAAAAAGGTAATTTTCTGTTAGACTGGAATATTTCAAAGCTGTATTGATAGTGCAGTTCTGATATGGTTTGGATAGCTGAGTGGGGATAGGGATTCCAGGGCAGACAGAGGAAGAGAAGGGCATGCAACCACTGCTCTAGAGATACCGAGAGTGTGCTGGTGGCCGTGGGAAGTGATGGGAGTGATAGAGTGTATCTGACATCCTCAAAAGACCAATGAGAACATACCTTGATTTGGGAGGCAGGAAGATGCCATTTTATTTTTTTTTTTTAGCAAGAGATAGAAATGACTCTTTCATAATCCACTGCATATCTGGATTTACATGAGAGAAATATTCAGAAATGCAATATGGAGAAAATTTAGATTCCAATTGATTTTATTTTTGGTGTCTATGAAACAAAACTGGTTTTTGTTTAAGGAGTGTAAGTTGTTATACATTTGTTTCTTAGCCTTTACAAGATTGCTTGTTGTATTGTTTGCATAGCAATTCTATGTATAATAGCAAAGGTAGGGGAAAAGGTTGGATAATACCTGGAATGATATTAATTTTTAAGAACAAGAATGATTCAAGTTCACTGGCACATTTGTATAATTATTTGACGTAAAGAAGTGGGTCCTGATGTGATTTATTGAGAGTCCTGGCTTACCTGTTACATTCCAGTTTAACCCCCAACATCTAACAACTGATACTGGGACACTGATTGGGAGTTTATACGACATTTTCATTGCTATAAAACCGCAGAATATAGAACAAGAATACACTTGGAATTCAAATCTCAGTGCTCTTACCAACACACTATTGTATTTCATTCAATCATAGAATGCAAAGTCATTTTTATATATTAAATTTTATAAACCCATCCTATTTAATGGTAATTATAATTTTTCCAACTTATTCTAGAAGGTCAATAAATATTTATGCTCTTCTAAAGGTATTCTTTACTTGGTGGATAACTCTACTTTCAAAGCTACTGCAATTGATGTCTTGCACATTTTTACTAAATCATTTTGCAGCCACCCCAATCAATTCACAGAAAACTCCTTTTTGTTCTTGTACACATTTTGAAAACACTCATTATCTGCTAAACAGACCATATCAGTTCTGCAACAGCCATTATTGTGGACTACAGACATTCAAATTGAGCTTCTTATGAAAAGGCAGATTTTTGCAATAATATATGGGGTCATTAAGTTTTGTTATACGATGCTTAACAAACCATTGGCCCAATAAAATTTTAAGCAGAATACTTTTCTAAATGACTACTGAACATTCTCTACACTTTAATCCTTTTTTCTTTTTTAAAATGATTGTTACATATTTTTACTCTTTAACCAGGGACCTAAAGTCAAGTCAAACAAGGCAGAAGGAAGAAGGAACTCTGTTTTGAGAAGCGGCTGAGGGTTGGGGGAGAGTGCGGTGGGAGGAAGGGGTGGCTAGCCAGGATTCACTTTGCTGGAGTTGGCCAGATCTTTGCTCTATTGATTTGATTTTCAAGACTTGACTATATTTTTTTAAGAATTCCTCTAGTATATTAAAATACACTATTTTGCCTATGCAAAGTATTTTCTGGACCATTTTGACTAATATAGCAAATACAGTTGACTCTTGAACAATGTGGGGTTATTACTAGTCCCCCCCACTTCCCCACATTTGACTCCCCCAAAACTTAATTGCTGTTGACTAGGAGCCTTACCAACAACAAAAACAGTGATTAACACATATTTTGTATATGTGCTATACACTGAATTCTTACAATAAAGTAAGCTAGAGAAGATAAAACATTATTAAGAAAATCATAAGGAAGAGAAAATACATTTACAGTGTTTATTGAAAAAAAGATTCATGTATACATGGACTTGTGCCTTTCAAACCCATGTGTTTAAAGGTCAATGTTCATTGAAAGATGGTAACTTTCTAAAATATCTGCAATATATAGTTTGAAGGTGAAAAATTCATTATAATGTGACTGCAGTGTTTAGATAATATTGATCACTAATAAACCTTTGCTGATTGATTCCCACTGTAAATTGCATGTAGTACTGAATATGTGTTGTATCTAGTATTTCTAGAATGTCTGTTCTTACAAGGGTCACAGAAACTATTACTGGAAAAGGTAAACACTGAAATTACATTATATGAGGTATGTGGAATAATTGTGAAGGTAAAAACAAGAATTAGCATAAAGCACTGACTGTATACCATGATTCCTAATGCAGTATTACCCTAGAAACTCATTCTTCTAAGTATTCTATTACTATGATAATGAAAGAAATGCATTTTCCTAATATTTAAGTCATATCTAACATTTTCCTTTGCTATATTAAAATCTTCTTGTTTATCATATTTATGTCACTGAATTTCCCATATTTATGTAGATCTTCTTAGAGCTACCTCCAGCACCTGACTGTGCATTGTAATCTGGGAGTCATGGACCATGATACCTAACGTTACCAGAATGTGTGAAATTCATGCAAAGTAGGCTAATTTCACCACCATATACCTGTTAAAAGTCAATGAGAATAATATATTTTTTCCTTATGTTGTTTGGGATTAATTTTCTCCAGTTCTGAACTTCCAAGACACTCTCTTTTTCATATGCTTAAATAGCATCATAGGGTTTTGTCTAATATGTAACTTTTTCGTTAGTACTTTGCAAACATGTACTTTTCAAACTCAGTATTTCAATTGAGTCTTTTTGCTCAGTATAGCTAAGTTTACACAGATATAATGTAAGGCATAACTTAGCCACTTTGTTAAAAAAAACAACAACACTGTATGGATAATGGACTTCATTTTTATGATGGAAAATCTCCATGCCTGTTTTATAAGCTGGACACCTCTAGAGGGACATCATGTCTGTTAGTAACTCAAGAAATAATTACCACTTTGGCAACACTTCTGAGAATGAAAGGTCAGATCCTTTATCTCAAGTTGAGGGTGAATCATCACTGTTATCTTTTTGCTTTTAGATTTGCAATGTGAATGATTTACTACTGAGCATCAGTTATATTTCTTCATCTTTCTCTTCTTGCTTTCAGCTCCCTGTGAAGGCAACATGTTCTTCTGCCACAGTAACATGTGTATCAACAGCACCCTGGTGTGCAATGGGCTCCAGAACTGTGTGTATCCTTGGGATGAAAACCACTGCAAAGGTAATGATTTGCAGACTCCCCCCGTCTGGAGTGGGAAGGATACAAATGCCAATGTTCTATGTATCAGACCATCGTAAAGACAGAGTGTAGAGAGGCTTTTATGAACTTTGGGTTTCTTCTAATCCATTGGGAAGCCTTGTTCTTTGCCATTTCAGGTGCTGTCACCAGAAGTTTCATTAACACACAGTGGACTCTCCAGAGCCCTTGAACGCTCATGGAGGCGTCTTCATAGGAGAGCCTGCAAGGACATGGAAAGACACTTGGAGCTTAGATGCAGTGTGGGGTTTCCTATCAGACCCAGGGCCCTTCGTCTGGGTGACCTGTCATTATTCCAGTTTGTCTTCATTGAGTACAGTGCACATACTCTAGAGATAAAGCTTATTGAAGGCGTGCTTGAGCATTCAGTTACTTCCAGCCACTTAAACTCAACTCAACTCAACTACCTAATGCTTTTCTTCCATTGCAATGGAAGTAGCTCCCATCCCCTGCTCCCCACTCTGGCTGATGCACAAAGGCCTGTTTCTGTCGACAGCATTTCCAGTCCTTGGCTTGGTTATAAATGTTGCATGTTTCAGCGAAGTTGAAAGTGCCAGACATCTTTTATTCAGATTCAGTAAGAACCAATTTGCAAAGGACAAGCAGGCAGACAACTCTTTCTTACTCCAAGTCCCGTAACGTCCAGTAAAACGCCTTCTCTGGGTAGAAGCAGGGAGGTGACCACAGCAGCTGTGGTTCCTGCGGTCAATAAAGAAGGCAGACCTGGCATCAAATATCTGAAAGTAGATGTGGCGATGGTCAGTTTTGTGTCCCAGGAACCATTTTGGAATCAATGGGAAAGTAAATATTTTGTGAAGACTCTTAATACCGTCCTGGTCATTTCCATTGTTTTTGAGATTTCCATTGGTTTGGGCACCTCTACACTCTGACCCAATAGAGTAAGTCTTCAGGGAAGCTGTAGTCTGTCTGTTCTTGTGGTCTGACTCTCTCATGGGCAAAACTTCTGCACCGTGGCTCAGGATGAAGGGGCAGGGACAGTGGCCAGCTGTTTTAGAGTAACACCCCTTTATGAACAGGGCCCTGGTCTTCTCCACTGGCCTCTCCAGATGGTTCCTTCTGTGAGTGAGTGGGGGCCCGGCCTCCTCACCCTTTGCACCTGGGTCTGAGCCTCGGTGCTAGCAGGGGGCCTGAGAGGAGGAAAGGAGCCCCAGACACTAGGGCCACCCCTGCCTGAGATGGAGCATCTGCAACATCGGTGGGGGTGAGAAATGCTGGTGTCTTGCCCTCCTGGGGAGGTGCTGTGGCTCTATTCTGGGTGCTGCCGGGAGAGGAAGCCTGTGTTGTCTGAAGTTTTCCAAGCAGAGTTTTGCTCAGGATGACCTGGGGATTGCGGGAGCTTCCATGCCATAGACCATCACTGACCTTAAGGAAATTAAGGAGATTTTAAAAAATAAATCTACCTCCATTCACCATTAGGACAAGTTCCCAGACAATAACTTGTTTGGGTTTTAAATATAATTTTTATCAATGATGGTTGTTTCATTGGGGAAATGGCTGACAGATGCCTCCATGCCGCCATCCCAGAAACATCTGTCTTGAAGTTAGTTACTTTTCAGGTTCAGAATATTGTTACTGCTTTGACTTCAGTTATCCAATCAGGAATTAGCTCACATGAATATAGATGTAATCACATGCTCAGTGGTTGACTTTGGGGGCTTTTGAGGGCAAAAAAATGTACTGCTTTTAAAATTAAGATCTCATTCCCAAAGGTCACTCAAACGGTCTCCTAAGACCTTCTCCAAACATAAATTTACATTAAGGCAGGGATGTTGGCCATGGCTGAGGCTAGAAAATAAGGTCCTTGCAAAAAGTGAACATTTTGGTTTATTTTTAAATATCGCTTTGTGTTACTTTACTAGTAAACATTTTTAATTCTTAAAAACTCCAGGCTCACCCCAGTTCATCTTAAAGTTATCCGTAGATGCTGTGGCTGCCATGTTTATACCTGATGGGCTGTGTCTGGCTTTATTTGTTTTCACTCTTTTCAACCCACAGAAAAGAGGAAAGCGGGCCTGCTGGACCAGCTGACCAACACCAGTGGGACCGTCATCGGGGTGACTTCCTGCATTGTCATCATCCTCATTATCATTTCCGTCATCGTGCAGATCAAACAGCCTCGTAAAAAATATGTCCAGAGGAAGTCAGACTTTGACCAGACCGTTTTCCAGGAGGTGTTTGAGCCCCCTCACTACGAGTTATGCACTCTCAGAGGGGCGGGGGCCACGGCCGACTTTGCGGACGTGGGCGATGACTTTGACAACTACCATAAACTGCGGAGGTCCTCTTCCAAGTGCATCCATGACCATCACTGTGGATCCCAGCTGTCCAGCGCGAAAGGCAGCCGCAGCAACCTCAGCACAAGAGACGCGTCTGTTCTGACGGAGATGCCGCCCCAGCCCGTCAAACCCCTCGTCCCGCCCACAAACAGGAGGAACATCCTGGTCATGAAACACAACTACTCACAAGATGCTGCAGACGCCTGCGACATCGACGAGATCGAGGAGGTGCCAACCACGAGCCACAGGCTGTCCCGACACGAGAAAGCCGTCCAGCGGTCAGTATCAGTAGATATTTTATGACAACTCTAACCTGAGGACTGCAATGCTTCCAGAATATTGAGTTCTGTTTTGTCTTCGTGTTTCTTTTTCTTTTTAAATTTTTTTATACTATATTTTTATTGGTTTCAGAGAGGAAGGGAGAGGGAGAGAGAAACATCAGTGATGAGAGAAAATCCCTGATCGACTGTCTCCTGCACACTCCTATTGGAGTGGAGCCCGCAACCCAGGCAATGGGCCCTAACCAAGAATCAAACTGTAACCTCCTGGTTCATTGGTACATGCTCAACCACTGAGCCGCACCAGCGGGGCTGTCTTCATTCTTCAGTTTTCCTTTTTATCAATGATTTAAGCCAATGTCTCCATGTTTTCCTCTTTTTCTTTTTCAGTGCCATCCAGACTCTTCCAAAAACTCCATATGTGTACCTGTGCTTGTGAGCACATACTGAACAAAGATATTTCACTTATTTCTACACATACATAGCATTGATTTCTACAAAACTTAGGCTTTAATTTATATAACAAATTTACATTGCTAATTTGCTTCCACGTTGTCCCAATCAATATTTATATTTTTAATATATGAAATGATATTTGGAAATAATTTCCTTACCAAGATGATTAACCCATCTTGTTGAATAATTTTAATATAGAAATAGCACTTTTTCAATATAATGTATTATTTTTTTTGGTTTGAAAATGGAAATACTTTTTTCCACATATTACATAATATTAATATTACAAATTGCATAGAATAGCATGGTATGCTAAAATACTAATCTTTATATTTAAGTGTAGCAAAGATTAGTAGAAACATTTGATTCATTTTTATTTTAATGTAAAGGCAATGTGATCTGTATTGTATCGTTAGCCCTAAGATTTATAAAAATTTGAGGCAAAGAAAATTTAAATTTAGGGAAAAATATTTTAAATCCCCAACTCCCACCTACTTATGTTTGATTTGTTCTTTTGCATGTTCACCAGCATTTGGTTTGTTTTATAAATGTATATTCTTTCTCAACTCACCATACATTTTCAAAACCTAAAATATTTTAGTTGATTTAATATTTTTGCATGCTGATAGCAAAAAAATCTATTTTCATAGTTATGAGAATTTTTAGGAATGGTTTTAAGTAAATATTTGTGTGTGCATTTATTTTTTGTGCAAATATTACTTTGTTGAATGAAACAGCCGTAACATTCCAGGTTCTGCCTCATTGGGTCTCTAAGCAAACACGAATCTGAATACAACACCACTAGGGTCTAAAAAGAAAATTCAAGGTAAGCAAATGCCCTTGGTTCCTTCTCCTTCTTCGTTGTATTCCGTTTTTGTTTTGTTTTGTTGCAACTGTCTTGCAGTTCTTTAGGGAACGGGCTACTTATTGATTATTTCTTTAAATATGTGTTTCATAACATTTCATAGAATGAATTCAATGCTGATGGGAGGATGGTTCTTAGTACCTGTATCTTTAAAATAAATATTCATATTCTTACCATCAAGCATTGTATTGCAATGTTATTGAAAAGGATATTCAATTCAGATAAATTTTACATGATTTAAGTTAAAGATACAAAATTAGTGACCTCTTTAAAGAAATACCAGAAGAAACCCAAGATTTTCATAATTGAAAATTGAGTATTGTCTCAATATATTAATATTGAGATAATAATTTGGCAATATGTTACTCCAAATTCATACACTAAGAATTTTGTGGCTCTCATACAATTTGTGCACTCTTATTTTTGCATGAACGTGTAGCTTATGTCATGAAAATTAAATGCAAGTTATGTTGAATGCTTGACATGTAAAATGTTTCATAAATACCAGCTGTCTTTGTGTGCCTCTTATTTGTCATTGAGTATCAGAATGGCTTTACTTGTATCACTTAATAGTCTATATCTATATTAGACTAATTTGTTTCCAATAAAATTTGTTTGACAGCTAGTCTCTTAAAAATTCTTCAGACCTACCAACTATTCCTAAAATAGGTGAATGCAATTCCCTGCTCTAGAATCTAGATGACCTTGAGTCTAGATGACCTTGATAAATTGGTGTATTTGTATGTATTTTTCACTGGCAGAAATTGTTTTAACTGTGTTTCATTTTCAGAGAAGAACTATTTATACAAACATGGGCACTGTGCAAAGAAAATTCTATAGTGAATTGTGAAAAGTGGACATATTTCTAAATCCATTCCACTGCCTTTACCCAAACTTAAGAATTACAGACATTTGTTATTTCTTCGGCAAGACATCCCCGCTGCACAATGATGTGTTCATTTCGTAATTTGGTTGCTGGCCACCAAGTGCTCCTTAGTATTTAAATACATTTCGAGATTTACTGGAAACTTGAAGAAGAAATTAGTTCCTGATTCAGACTATTCATTTTTACTTTCACTTCCACTTTGTTTCTATGTTGTTTCACGTCTCTTATATAATTGTATATTGTGTGGTATGTGAAAAAAACACGATTTGGGATGAACTTGGTGTCACATGTACGTTGTTTTTATTACATAGACTGATTGAGAATAGTCGTCCTGAGTGAGTCTGAACATGCAACAGTGAAAATGTGGACCATGGGAACAGCAGCCAGAGGTTTTCTGGACTGAGAATACACGTCTGTTGTATTAGGAATAAATGCAGCCAGAAGTAATGAGTAAAATGACCAGAGGGCAATAAGAAAAGTCTCATTCTTTGGTATTTCTTCTGTACCCCTGATTTCCTTATTTTGTTTATTTTATTTCAAAGGAAAATACCCAGTTTCAGAAATAGTTTTTGAAATCAGCATTTCACCATTTATTATACCCTTCAATAGCAATGTTTTTGCTTCAGCACTTAGCAATTTGACTGAATTGACAGACAGTTTGAGAAAACCCCTGCATGTCAGTTCTGGATATTTCGGTTGGAACATACCCTCTCTCTGAGACACATTGTAAAAAGCATGCGTTCGCCAACCCTGCTGTCTCTCCTCCATGTCTTTGTATCATCTGCTTGCTCCTTGTAACTTTTTATATAAAGATATATAAAAATGTACAATAATTTCCTAACTTGAGTTAAGAGAAATGTTTTCTTCCATTAGAGTGAAAAAAAAATGACTTACACACTTTGTATCAACTTTTTCCTCACTGTAGGCGTCAGGATGCCCTTTAGCATTGAGGCTTATCTCCAAAATTTTATGGATTGCATTCTGGTTTTAGAATAGGAAAGTCTTTTATAAATGCTTTTAAACCACCAGCCATTTTAGGACCCAAATTACACCATTCTTATACTGAGGCACACATATGATACGTGAAGTCTTAACTAATTAAGATGTGTTTATATATAAGTAAAGTCAAATCATGCAATATATTTAAGTGCTGTTGAATGATATACACACTCTATTAAATTTGATTCAATGATTGGGTACTTTTTAAATATTGAATATGTATTCCTAGAAAATAAATTTTTAAAAAATAATTATTATAAATTGGCTTGCAAACATGTTTAAAATTACAGAATTCTGTAGAATTCTGTCCTTTAAACAGCAAAGGTGTCTGATGTATCACAATTTAAACCTTATAAATCAAGTTGACTTCACAAACCTAATAGATTAATTACTCACATACACCCCCATCAGGGATTCAATTTTATATATGTCACACACACAAATAAATGGGGGAAAAAAAGAAAAATGTAGTGACAGAAAAAATAAACAAATATCATAACTCTGAATAGTCTATATTTTTTAAAATGTCAATTTCCAGAAATAGTCACTCCCATGAATGTGATTAGCTGGTGAATAGAAAAAAATATATTGAGCACAATAAAGATATGTTTTTATTTTGCTACATATTTTTATATACATTGCTTATGTTAAAATTTAGCCTTTTTTGTTTGACTTGACTGGTTTATTTATTAGCATGGCTATATTTATGCCCTGTAATTCAAGTTTAATGCATCCAGATATTATTTTTTGGAAGCGATTAGCTATATTTTACTCATATTACTTTATTTAGACATCATCATAGGGCCCTTTACACTTTGAATGAATCAGAAAAGTATAATCTACATGCCAAGGCCCTTTAGAATAGCAAAAAGGCAGGAAAATAGGTGAACCCTCTACAGTCATCTGTCCATAGCCATCCAAAGGCCTTGCTCTTCTACAGTTCCTTCTAAATATACAGAAGTCTTCTGATTTGCTAGTTCAATGCATAAAATATATATGCACCAGAAATCCACTAATAGAGACTTAAAAAACAAATATCCAACTACACCAACTATAATAATAACACTGGATTGCATGTATTTATTTAATACACATCAGCTTCATGGGAAAACAAATGAAGAATAGGCCCCTTTAGGGGTAATATTAAAAGATTCTTATCAGTGAGCATTGACTAATCAGAAAGGATAGTAGTGGTAATGCTGAGGCAGAGTCTTGGAGGTGGCTGTTGTCTTTGAGCAGGGAGATGTTCTTTGGATGCCCCCAGAACAGACTCTTTAAAGACCAGTATTGAAATATATCCATATGTCAAAAACTCCAATTTACTGACGATATCAGGCCAGGTCACCTGAATACCAGCCTTTGGTTTACACCTAATTGGGCAGACTCAGGTAGGTAAGGAAGGAGTGGTTTCAAGACTTTGGAGATGTTTCAATATGTTTCAAGTCATGTTATTTTAAGAAATAATTATATTTTTGATAAAGTGATTTCAAATAATCCTAATTCCATGTTTTCAATAATGTAATTATACATGATGTTAGTTAATTGGGAAATAGCTGTTTCCGTTTTATTTCTCTGTTTGAATTCACTTTCAAGACCTGGGAGGCATGTCATTATGTGAAATGCCTCTGAGGTCCTGAACTGAGCTCTTTCTTTCTGTCCAAGTGCTTTTCAATGGCCTAATTCAGGTTGATGTGCTGACTAGGAAATACCTGTGTGATTTTTCTGTGACTGATTTTACGCACATGCCGTTTTATGCATCATATTGCATAATAGGCATGCAATGTTTGATTTGCCATAATTAACTTCCCTTTGATTAAAAAATCAAAATGTGGCTACAAATCTAATTGGAGATCATGTTGTTGGACTTTTCAAGGAGACCAATCCACTTTGTGGAGATGCTGACTTTTCTGTTTCATGTTATTTTTTTTCTACTAGAATTATTTCAATGGGTCCGACTCCATAAATTGTCTTTCTTGGTGTTTAATAAAGTTAGATCTTTGACATTATCTGAATAGTCACCTAAACTATTTTTTCCCTTAGGAATTTGGGTTTTCCTTAAATTAGATAAGCTTTTTAAAGAAGTCCGTGAAGGGATTTTCTTTGACCTCAGAATATCATAATAAATTACAAAACATGATAGTGGTTTCTGTTATCTTTATTAATCTATATATATAAAAGCTTAAGCGACCAAATGACTGAACAACCAAATGACTGGTCAACTGGTCGCTATGACGTGCACTGACCACCAGGGGGTAGATGATCAACATGGGATCTGCCCCCTGGTGGTCAGTGCGCTCCCACAGCCAACTTCCTGCGGCGCCTCCCTCCAGCCAGCTGGCCAACCTCCCACGGCCTCTCCCCTCACCCCTGCCGGCCAGCCCCAATAGCCCCAACCTCCTGAGGCCCCTCCCCCTGCCAGCCAACTTCCTGCAGCTCCTCCCCTTGACCAACCTCCCATGGGCCCAATTGCTGGCCAGGCTGAGGGACTCCACCCGTGCACGAATTCGAGCACTGGCCTCTAGTATAATAATAAATACTTTATTGGTGTTTTGATGATAAAATAAATAATAGTATTTTATCTTTTTATGAAGTTTGTATATTTCAGTGATGAAAATGAGTTCTGTCAGAATCCAACTCCAAAGGTGGGGGTAGGTTTAATAAACAAAATTTTTAAAATTATCTGAATCCTAAATGTGTATGATTTGAAGAGTAGGTTTCAGTTTTATACAACTTTACTGAAGCCAATTAGTGACTTTCTATCTCATGTTTACTGACACTTCTTCCCTTTGCTCATTTCTATCACTCATGACACAGAGATCCCAGCCAAGAAATTGTTAGTTAAGAAATTATATAGATTTGAATTAATTATTCTTAGTCATTTAATTACTATTTTCCATGCTCCTCTGAAAGGTTGAGTAAAATAGCAAAATAAATTATATTGTTAAAATAGCCAGAAGTGTGTTTTATTATTAAAAATCCTTTTCAATAAATCTGAGGCCCTTCGTTAATATAGAATTATCCTGATTAATTTTATTAATGAACTTAAGTTGTATTTTGGATTTCTTTCACTTAGTTTTATTATTCAAAAAAATCAAACAGGGTAATTATGTCAGACACTCCTAATTTCTCATTATTTCTTATCATGGCCTCTGGTTCTGTACTTCCTTGTGTGTTATTAAAGAAGTAAACACCCTCTGATTATGTCTTCAGTTCCTCAGAAGTGTGAATAATAGACTCAACCCACTTCAGACGCCTGTCATTTTCTAGGGGTGGTTTCCAGAAGGTTCTTATCCCTGCACCAGCATGATCATAAAGTTAAACCACTTCCTTACATCCATGACAATTCCAGTCAAGATGCTTTTTTGTTGTTGTTGTTGTTAAGCCTCACCCGAGGATTGATGTGAGAGAAACACATCAATTGGTTGCCTCCTGCAGGAGCCCCGACCAGGGCCCGGGTAGGGGAGGAGCCTGCAACCAAAGTATGTGCCCTTGAGTGGAATCAAACCCGTTACCCTTTGGTCTGCAGGCCGACATTCTATCCACTGAGCCAAACTGGCTAGGGCCAGTCAAGATGCTCTTATTTGTTTCCGACTCTTACCCCTCTCCCAGCCCTGAGGCATGCTGTTTTTATGTTGGTTCACTCTATGAAATACTTTTTTTTCCTGTCCTCTTAATAGTCACAGATATCGACACAAAATCTAAAAGTGACCAGAAGGTATAATGTACAAAGTATTTAAAAGAAAACACTTCTATTGTATGACATTATAAAATTTGTGCTCTTTATTCGCTTTCTCATAACTTAAGTGCAATATTAAACATAAGCAACCTTTTTTGAGCCTGCACAATCTATATTCCAAGCTTCTTCTTAAGTGCTTTGGGGATGAGAAAGAAAGGTGATGATCCAGAGGGAACCATAATTATGGAGCCTTATAGAAGGAAGTGTGCTTAGAAGATCTAGATAAGGCAAATGAAGCCCACAATTATTTAAGTTTTTCATCTTGAAAAGCTAATTGATTTCTGCCTTCTAATTTTGTATGGAAGATAACATATATTCAACTGATAAGAGAATGTAATGCAGATGATGTTTTCTAATGAAGAAGTAGCATAAATATGGGGATACAAATATGTTCTTAAGGAGATCAGGAGAGGTTTATTGTATTGTTGTCCTTCTAAGCAGGTCTGAAAGGCTGGAGACCATTGTCAGATGTGGATCAGGGAGAGATTTCCACCTGGAGAGACTGGAGTGGAGGCAGCCTTGGAAGGCCATATGCTTGAGTTGGCAGGAGCATAGGAGTAGACAAAAGGAGAAATAGGGAATATAGTTGGAAGAGTAGGTTGACATTATCTTTCATGATTTCTGAGTGTGTGTCATGCCATCCAGAGGAGTTTATATTTTATTCAAAGGAGAATATTTTCATGTATCTCAGCAAAAGATGGTTTTAAAATTGTACTTTTGGTAGAATCCTTGGACAGAAGTGTGTTTGCTAAATTGAATGAGATTGGAATAAATAAAGGAAAAATCAAAACAGTACAGAAAAAGCACTAAAATATAACTGATGGAATTGTTTGGTATCTAGAAATCTGTCTTGCTTTTCAAGTTACTTTCTGCCATATTTTATCATTTAAAGATTATGGCTGACTGTGTTAAATGCTATATGCTAAACACTATTTGAGCGTTTTACATGTAAGTAGTCTCTTAGCAATCTTAGCAATTCTGTCACTAGTAATGATGATACTTTCTATGGTGGTGGTGGTGGTTATTGTTATAATTACATTGTACACATGAGAAAACCAGAGAGTTTCAGTAACTTTTCTAAGATTGCACCATAGGGACTAAATCTAGCCCTAAATCCAAGCGGATTCACCCTAGAATCAACCAGCAACCCTCACCATGTGTGATACAGCCCTTCAGTGCTCAACATGGTATGTTTCCCTGAAAGAAGTAGATACTTACTCATAGGAACCCCAAAGGGTTGTTTCCTCATCTATAAAACTATGTATTTTCATACCTTCTCTCTGCCCTACAGCATTTGAGATCATATGGCAAAGCATTGGAAGATCTTTTTTATACTCTAATCTCTCTATATAAAGAGGTAATATTCAAAGTTGCCAGGATGCTGTAACAGTCATGACCAGCTCAGGAGGAGGCTGCATGCGTGGTGAGGCAAGCCACGGGTGGCACAGGCCCAGAGACAGAGGGGCCTTCCCCAGAGTGGAGACACACACAGGGGGGCCCACCCCAGTAGCCACACGTGCCAGCAGTCCCGCCTCTGTGCATGAGCTGCAGAGGAAACAGCTTTTCTTACTGCTCATTGGCTAAGCTTCCTGTACACTACTCACAGTGTTCTTGGTAACTTGGGTAATAAGAACCCAAGAAGGTGATCTAGGGTTTTTCCACCTCACTGCTGGAGGAATAAACGAAGGTCTGCTGCTGGAGGGGCTAAGAAATGTCATATCCTGCCCTAGCTGGTTTTGCTCAGTGGATAGAGCCTCAGCCTGCAGGGTCTGGGTTCGATTCTGATCAAAGGCATGTACCTAGGTTGCAGGCTTATCCCTGGCTGGGGCCCAGGTCAGGGCTCATGCAGGAGGCAACCAATTGAAGTGTGCCTCTCACATTGATGTTTTTCTCTGTCTTTCCCTCTCTCTTCCATGCTCCCTAAAAATCAATGGAAAAATATCCTCAGGTGAGGATAAAAAAAAGAAAGAAAGAAATGTCATATCCTATGAAAGAGACATCTTGAAAATGCCTAAAGAAAGTTGTCATTTTTTTGTGGTGAAGGGACTGGAGTCCGTGTTGATGAAAACACCTTGGCATCTGCAGTGGCCAGCAGTGGCAGCAGCAGTGGGGCGATGGGGTGGCACCTTCCCTTGATCAACCCGGTCACTTCCAGCAGAGGGAGGCCATGGGGAGTGGGCCTGAGCCGTCAGTAGGACAGACCCTGAGGGGCCCCAGACTGTGAGAGGGGGCAGGCTGGGCTGAGGGACCACCCCCCCACATGAATTTTGTGTACTGGGCCTCTAGTACATTATAAATAAATATATTTTTTCTAAGTTGTATGTAAAGTTAATGTAGCAAATGTACCATCTATAAAGAGCAATGATGAAGAGTGATTTCTAGAGTCCACAGATTTTTTCTTGTGTCACCCGTGTGACGTTTTGGACATTTTATTGTAACATCTTATTCAATAACATTGAACTCCAGAGCTCCAAAGTGACCCCAAAAGCCCTCATCATCAAGTATACAAGAAATAGCAACACTTGAAAGAAAGTCCTGTTTTCGATCCCAACAATTGCTTGTGTAAATTCCCAAGATAGCACGATCTTGGATAAGCACACCTATATACACATATTCACAGTTATGTCAATAACTGGGGTTTTGTGACCATAGCTATGACCTACAAATGTGGTATAAGGCAGTGAAAATAGCTTTCTATAGGACTAATTCAAATTTTAGTTTTACTTTGTACAATGTGTATGTTCTGAAATGTCTGAATCCTCTGAGCTTCACGTTCCTTTCTGTAAGACAGAGAAAACTATAGCTAGTGAAGATAGTTGCTAGAAGTACTGGAGATGGTGTCCATAAACAATGTGAAATCAGTGATGCCAGGGTGGAGGCTATCATTTTCACCTTTGTGTCTTACCAGTTGGTCCTTCAGAGTGGGACCAGTGTCTCCTCTATGCTGTGCTTTTATAAGTCTGTGAACCAGGCATCACTGACACAGTGGAGCTTCCTATCTTGTCAGTGCCTTAGGTTTAGACAACTCAGGACAAGGCCTCACCTTTCAAAGGCACTCATCAGCTGGCATCAGTTCATGAGGGGTTGTTACAGCAAGGTCACTGGAAGGAATGTAGGGATAGTCAGATGGAAAAGAACAATGCCCACACGTGGCCTGTTAGCTCTACTGTCATCATTTGGCATCAATGAGGATGATACTGGAGCAGATACCAACACAGGTCTACTATTAACATGCCTTGAGAATGGCTCCTTTGTAGAACAAGAGTATTT